TCTGTTTCTTTGAATTTTCAGTAGTTTGTAAGAGTCTCTTAATTGTTTGGGGTTTCCCACTGAGGAAGGTTGCCCATGGGGTTGTAGGATGGATGTCTTTTAGGGAGGTGCCTCTCATATTTAGGTTGCCCCTTTGGAGAAGGAAAGGAATTTGCTTAGTGTCTTTTGGATGAACTCTAGTTGTTTTGTGTTTGGGGCATTTATGGATCCATTTGTCAGTTTAGTTTCCCATCTAGTACCCCTTTAGCAAAAATGAATCTGCCTTTTAGCACTGTTGTGGCTTTAAAATTTAGGTCTCTACTGAGTACTACGACTACCCCGCAGACCTTACCTGAGCCAGGGGCCACCCATTGTTGACTGAAGCAGGGTTCACTCAGGAGTTTGCTTCCTGTATTTGTATTTTCTGTAGAAAGGCAATATGTGATTTCATTGTGCTTACATACGAGGTGATGTGTTTTCTTTTGATAGGGTTTCCCAGTTCCCTCAAGTTTAGTACAATTGCTTTTAAGCTAGCCATTTTGTATGTCTGTTATATGTGATGTTTTCCTGCCAACCCGTCTGGGTTGTCCTGTGTGTATCTCCCCTTACATTGTCTGTCAAACCTAGAGTGTTGTGCCGACATACAGTGTGGGAGAAGGGGAGTTAGAGTTTGAGATGGGCTGAATAGTGGGGGGATATGTTATAGAGGGTAACCTGTATGTAGTTATATAGGTGTTTGTTTGGGGTAGCTTGGACCATTTGGATTCCAGCCTGTTGGTCCGGTCACCCATCTTAATAACAGTTAAAGCTACAGGCAGCTGAGAATAGGCATCATTCAGTTTTATGTTTCTTTGTGGGTTTTGGTCATTGTCAATTCTGCATTTCAAAGAGTTGCCAGTGAATTACATTAAAGTGGCAAAAGGTTGGTGAGAGAGTTGTCTATAAAGCAGGTGCCCTATTCCAACCAGGCCTTGAAAAAGTTACAGAAACTATACATGTTTTTTAAAACCTTTTAAAGCATCGAGCTAAAAATTGAGATATGGGTAAGCTTTTGGCATGGTTTTTTGTGCTTATTATGGTCATTAACATTGTGGTTTTGAAACTAATGCTGACAACCTTTCTCAATAGAGGCTGGATCTCTTGATTAGAGATTAAAGCCTTAATCCCTGGTGTTTGTTCATTGCTATAAGACTTTGGCACTTAGTTGAAAACAAGAAAATGTTTCAGATGTGCCAGAAGTTGGGTGTGGTAAGGGGATGAGAGTGACTCTAGGGAGGAATATTGTACAGAGGTCCCACAGAGCAGCATACTTCTATAGAGCATTAGCAGAATGGGCAAGTAACAGAATGATTCAGAAAACCGAGATTTGTACCTGGGAATAAAGTTGAGAAAGCCACTGAAAAGCAAATCTGGTTCATATCTTTGTCAAATCTTTTTGAGGATATTTAAGGGGATTTATCAGGGCTGAGGGGAACACCATAAGTCAGCTCTCTCTCTCTCTCTCTCTCTCTCCCTTTAAAAAAACTAACAAACCCCAAACCACACATAGTTTTCTTATAGAAATAAGCATCCATACCAAAGGAAATCAGTGCCTATTCCGCCAGTCAGGGCAGTGATTGCTAGTCAACTGAAATGTAAGTTGTATTTCTGGCAAAAAAGGGGAAATAAAAAAATCCTACTTAGTTGATCAGCCTATGCAATGCTGGGAAATGTAGCAGGGTGTTAACTGTGTTTCTTAACTCTGCCATACTGCTGGGTGGCAGAATGCTACCTTTGCAACTTTCCTTATTTCTGTAAGTTAGCATGTAAGTTTCTGACTTTTAATATGAAAGCAGAATACATGCAGTGAGAAGCCTGGACTCACAGACTTCTATGATTTCAGCCCTGGTGTGGACAAATTAGGATGCAGCTGTAGGATTCATTTATACAATCAAATCTCGGTTCTCGAACGGCTCTGTTTTCAAACGTTTCAGCTCCTGAATGCCAAAAACCCACAAGTAAATGCTCTGGTTTTCGAACATTTTTCGGAACCTGAACGTCTGACGCGGCTTCCGCTTGAGTGCAAGAAGCTCTTGCAACCAATTGGAAGCCACTCCTCGGTTGTCAAACGTTTCGGAAGTTGAACGGTCTCCCAGAACGGATTATGTTCAACAACTGAGGTTTGACTATATCCTCATTTTACTGTGGTGTAGTATTTCTTGAACTACTCAGCCATTCTTAGTCATTAAGTTGAGAAAATCTTAGCTACACTAACATACCACAGACATGCCAATGCTATTGCTACCAGAGGTAATGGCAAACCCTGGGCTAGAGATGCTTGTCTCCTTTAATTTTCATCATCATCATCATCATTATTATTATTATTATTATCATCTTTTCACCATGAGGTCCCAGGATTGGTCAGCACAGTGTAAAATACAACATTGAAAACAGTTTAAAACAAATTGCAATCACAACTAGAGTGGGTTCTTGTTTCACCATAATTATTTATATTGAGGTTTGTAAATCCACTTGAAACCATTTCCTATTTTGATTAACCAACAAGTCATGAACCTTAGTTTATCAGTTCAGATATTTCATAAATCCAAGGTTAAATTTAGTTAATAGCTTGTCTAAATTGAGCCTTACGTCTTAGTCAAATGTAATGCTGCCCATTGTTTGACATTATGTGCATGAACCTAGTACTCTGCACTCCCTCCTTCCCCTGACACATGGCAAGTCCCTACCTCTGATACATGTTTGTCTGGGGGTTTGTCCTAGCTTACAAACCAAGCTTGATCCTAGTCTACAGGCAAGTGCAAATTACAGTTTACTTGTATATGTAAAATTGCAAGCTATAGTTTGCTGCAAATAAGCATTGAAGAAGAAAGCAGAAGCATGTGAGTCTGAAGTTTCTAAGGGTTTGTTCTGGCAACATCTAACTATAGCCTGCCATAATGTCTAAATGTAAACTTCTAAAAAACTTCTTAATTTTTTTTCAGGTAAAATAGTTCCAAATTTGGGGAACGGAGGGAGTTGGGTTTTTTTTAACCATTTCAAATACCTTCTGAATTTGATGCAAATCTCTAACGTTTGTGTTCATTTTGGAATTGCTCAATCAGCCCTTGCTCCCAGGTCCTCTTTCTCAAACCTTCCCATAACTGTGGATCAGTTGCATGGAGGACTGGCAACAGTAGATACCTTAGGCTTAGGACCTGGACATACCAGCAGTTCCCTTTGTTGTCACTGAGCAGCATAGGAAATGTAGCTTGCTGTGTGAAAACTCAAAATCTGGGGCATCTGCTGTCCCCTCCTTAACCAGGAGCAGTGGGATCCAAATTCTTGCCTAAGCCTTAATTCATGCTGTATCAGATCCCGGTAGGTTCTGAATGGAGCCCTGGGGACTTGTGTGGCACTACTTGTGCTTGACACCACACATTTTCCTAACATGCTGTTAGGGCTTGCTCAGTTTATTGATGAGGACAATAATAGAAAGCTTTTTGCTAGAAGCTGTTATGTTTTATTATAATCTCATAACTATATTCACCAAAGTTGGCTTGTTAGTAAACTGTTGCAAGAAGTGGCTTCTATATGTAAGCTATCCCAAATTTAAGAGATCTTCTCTAAGGCAGAAATTATAAAACTCTGTCCTAAATGTCCTAAACACATTTATTTAGAATGCAGTTGCATTGAACTTGATGGAACTTGTCTCATTCTTAAGCCTTCCAAATGGCAGAGGGATACTTGAAGTCAAAGCAAAATCATTTAGGAAAGAAATTGGATATAATGTACCTAGTAGAAACCACTTTGTCCTTGTAAACCATTGGTATATAGCAAGCACATCCAACTCCCAAGAGACTGCGAACTACTCCCAGTAGAGCCAAAGTTGTTGACCTCTTGGGGGGGGGGGCGAAGCCAAAGTTGTTGAGCTTATTTTAGGGAGGAATAGCAAAGCATGTTAGCTTTATTGGGGGGGGGCACCGCTCACCGCTCACGGGTCATTTTCTAACTCATTGGCAAATTACCCATTTGGCACAACAAAGGAAAAGAGCAGTGGGGGGCAGGAACTTTCACTCCATTGCTTATCACTGCCACCAATCTATAGGGATCCCACTGTCCACCGCGATCTACCACAATCATCCAGGGATCAATCTATTGGTTGGACATCCCTGGCATATAGCGCCTGGTTCACAAATGTAAGTGAAATGTATGATGCAGACTGCAAAGCTGTACTGTGTTAAGTCATCACAATAGAATCTCATGACACCATAAACTAGATTCTAGGCTGTCAAATGCCTTGTTATAGAGGAGCTTGATGGGTTGTTATAATGCCTACAAGTTCCTTTATCTGGGATCTTTACATGGATTTCCCTTTTTATTCAAACATTTCCAAGGACTTGAAGCACTCAATATCAGCTGGACTTGGTCTGTCTGAAACCCAAATTACATCGCATGGCTTCGACAGTACCAAAGAGGGAATCATTGAAGCCGGACCATTTCAAGGTAAGTATTATTGATGAACTAAGAATATTTACTACAAATATATTAATGACAGAAAGGGGATTCTATGTAGTATTCATTGTTACTCATTTGTATGTTTAAAAAAAAAGCACTTCAGCCGGAGAATGTCTTTTCGCAATTCATTCAGTGAATTTGTACATAAAAAAACTCTGCTGAGTTCTAAAGGCTAGTTCATGGTGGTGGTGGTGGTGAGATAAATAAATGGTCAGTATACACAAGAGGGCTTGCCCTGTGGAGCACCCCCCATAATGGAGCTGCCTCTGTTTCAAAGCAGCCCTAACCTGAAATGTTGATGTACAAGTTTCAGTCTAGTTCCTCCAGTATTTTCTGTACATGTAATGTGTTGATCGAATAAGGATGGATTTTCATGGTGTATGTCCCGTTTTCAGGTCCCTCGTCATTACCCATGTCACCTGTTGTATCTCCTAGCAGCGCAGCTGCTAGCAGACTGGCTGAACAAGGGAGTGATTTAATTATGCCGAAAGGTATTCAGAGGTTTAAGCAGATAACACTCTTGCTTATACAATACTAACTCCCAAGTTAGCAGATAATTCGTTATGATTCCTTTACTTGCTATTGCTAAGCATAACAGCTGCTTTTTCATGGTTCTGTCACTTGGCAAAGTAACCAGTGCATTTTTCTTTCTGTATACTATCTTTCTTTACTATTAAACATGATCAAACAAATATTATCATCAGGAGAATGATTTGAGGAATGACCTTGCCACTGCAGTTTTCTCTTGTAGTGGTAGTAGTGTTCCATTAGTCCTCCATTATAACAGGAGTATATAATTTCCAAGGCTATACCATGGACTGCTTGGCTTTGATCAAGTTAGTCTAGTGTTGGTACTTAGTTCTGAAAGGGTAGAGTATTTCCCAGGTCTATTGTATAAGGCAGCCTCCCCCATCCAGATGCCATCCAGATGTTTTGGACACCTCCCATCATTCTTGGACATTGGCCATGCTAGCTGCGGCTGATGGCAGTTTAGCCCAAAACCCATTTAGGACATCAGTTTGGGGAAGGCTTTTGTGTGTAGGGTATTCTGCAGACATTATTGAGGTATGATGAAGTTGAGAGTATGTGTCAGTGATCAGCACTGAAATCTCTAAATGTACCTGAGACCTTCATGTTTTAGCCTTTTAAAAATTAAATTCATGCATGGTTGGAATTGTGAACATATTTTAAAGGTTATAGAAAGCACTTGCTATCCAGTAATTGTATGAGCCACTTAGAATGAATTGATAATACTTGGTTTACAGCAATTTAAAATCTGCTTGCTTGTGGCTCTGCTGGATCATCTGTAGAAATCAAATGAATTGATACCTTCCTAAAGTTGCTATTGGTTGTTAATGTTTAGGTCATAGCCCAAACATGTTCCTACTGGATTGTTAGCTTTCACATAGCAAACATCTCAGGTTGCAGCTTTTAGAATTGCAGGAGCTGGTGTGCTTCTTCTCAACATGCTCTATCCTGTATACTAAAATAACATCATCTGTGGGAGTCAACACCATCCTGACAGTTCATCTTTGTACTAGCAAGCGGCTATGCCACACATTTTTTTTTTAGTTAGCTATGAGTATTGCTATGAAGGAACATATCATAAAACTGGTATAGGTGAGGCATATGTTGCAATTTGGAATGTTTTCCAACAATTCTGTGCTTGTTTTTGGTGGGTGTTTGTAAAAAGAGCAGACTTTATGCACTCCCTATCTGCAGTTCAATACCACTAAATGTAGAGTGCTGATGGTAACATTTTAAAATTCACAGCCTTGCTTGCAATTCTTTTACTAACTTCTCCTTATGGTTGGGTTCCACTGCTCTCTTGATTTTGAAGGTCATGGTAAAAAATCATTTCAAAATTATTGAGATGCCTAACTGAATCATTGCATGAATTTGGGATAATAATTCTGATTTGGAATATGGTGCACTGAAAAAGCCTTCTGGTTGATGAAACTGCAATGTGGCTGCTTTCTCTCCTCTACCTTGCAGTGGATTTGTAGTCATCACTAGAGTCTCTTTAGAAGCACTGTGTGATTCTTCACACATGTCTTCTGAGCATCAAAACATCTGAAAGGTGTGATTCATCACGTGCAAACACATGGTAGGCACATCCTAGGTTCACCACAGCTCACATGGTGGACATACTGGAAAGACTTCTGCTTTAAAAAATTTGAAGCCTTCTTGAGTAATGGGGTGCTATAGAAGTAAGATGGGGTTGGAAGGACAACAGTGAGCAGCACTCAAGCATGCTGTACAGGTATTTAACTGTCAGAGCTATCTATTTATTTATTTATCTGTTTATTAGTTATAGGGAAGTTAATTCTGTCTGCATTTCTTTTTAAAAGTGAGATGACATAGTTACTATGTCATGTAGATGTCCTCTTGTGACTTGATCTTGTTCCTCTCAACTCTGAAACAAGTCCCATAGAGTTCAGCAGACTGGCTTCCAGTTAAATGTGTGTAGGCTTGTAACCATAACTGCTATGCAGATATTTAAAAGAAGTCTTCATAAGCTTTACTGCAACACATGCCTTTAGTGAAAATACAAGATACTGCATATTTTCCACATGCTGAGAGAATTGTTAATTCATCAGTGTACTTGGACATCAGAACAATGCAACAGCTGGCAAATGCAGTAATTAATTGAGTCTGCTTTGTAGCATTTTCTAATATCCTGTCCGTATTGGATAATTTGTCAAAGTATTTTAAAGCTTCTTAATTAAGATCTCCAAATTACTGACTATTGTAACTTAAATCCAAATACCCAAGCAATCTTGTTCTTTAAGGTTCACCATAATATTAACACAGAGATTAGTGTGCTATTCACTTCAGAATGAAGCGGGAAATGCTTTACTTTGTAGCCTTCTGTTTAAGTGGCACACTTCAGCATGCCTATTTACATCTGGTTTCTAAACAGGCAATCTAAGAATGCAGCAGAAAAGTGGACCAGTTGTGCTAGCAGATGAAGCGAAGAACCCAGCCATGGAAAAGCTGGAGCTTGTAAGAAGATGGAGCCTAAATACTTACAAGGTTTGTATTTCATAGTTGCAGTTTAGATCCCACAGATGCAAGCTAAGCATTCTCTCTTGGCCTGTTGGCTAAGAGGAAGCACTGTTTCCAATACTTCACATGTAAAAGGATTTGGCGTTTTACCAGAATTAGAAGTCTTAAGAGACTGACGTGCATTTTGAAAATTTAATCTCCTTCTGCTACAGTGACCCCTTGGGATGAAGAGAGGCTTTTGGAATAGTGACATGTAATAAGGAACCTAATTTGTTTTTCTAAAATTTACTTCTTCAAGATTATTTTGAGTACTGTGTGAACTTCTTAATAAAGTGGGCTATTAAGTAATTGCTTTGAAGTTATTTGAATTGGTCATCTCCTAATAGAACTGCTGAAATTGGCAAGAAATGCAACACGTGTGTAAGATTTACACACGATAAGATCTCTAATTTCATTGTTATGTGTGCTGCTCATTATGTAGTCGGTAGATTTTAGATTGGAAAGGAAGGGGCAGTGTGTGTTTTAATGGTGCTGTATTGTGCTTAGGGTGTATAATTTAGTACGTCATTTTGCAGCATATTCCCAGTGAAATTAATATTCACACCTTTAATCTGGAATATACTGTTGTTTACTAGGACAAGACTCTGCCCTACCTATGAAGACTGCTTATACTGCTACAACTATATATGTACTTAAAATAGAGAACAAACTATTTTTGCTTCTGAGTTATGTTTTTTCTTACTAGCATAATTATACTAAAGGCAGCGGGAAGTATTCTTCCAAACCTGGGAAGGATATTTTATTTATTTACACCATTTGTATACCACTTAATATACAAAAATGTATCTTAGCGGTGTACAGTAAACTAAAACAGCAGCAACAAACGTTACAAAAATACCAGGGAAACCATTCATATAGCTTACTAATAAATAAAGACTGCTATAAATTCCTTCTTCTGCCACATTTCTTCCCTGAGCACCTCTCAGTCGCCTGGCTCTCACCCATGGCCCAAACAAACTCACTGATTACTCCAGAAATATCACATCAAAGAAGGTCCGTAGAAACTGGCGACATCACCGTAGTTTCCAACTTTAGGCACCAAGGAAACACTAGGATGCCAAACTTTTTCAGCTTAGGAAAATGTAGTATAAGTAACCATTAATGGATTTCTTCCTCATATAGCTAGTTCAAAGACACATTACATCTTTCCCATATGTATGTGCACCTCACATGGAGAAACTTAATGTGCCTGTTTATACCTATTCATAGATGAGCTCATTTATAAATGAGTGACAAAATATGTCCATGGGCTGACTGTTACCTTGCCCTCAGCTTTGTGCACCTCACTTCTGCATGTTGACATAGCATGTTAAGGCTGATCTGCATGCATTATTTCAACAAAGTTCAGGCTCACATGCTTAGATTCCCTCCCTCATTTTCTGATTCACAGCAATTACAGTATATAAATGCCACTTTCAACATGGGAGTGGCTAACTGGCTATATCCGTGATCCATGACTTCCACATTGTTTTTTTCCATTTACATGTATACCTATTGAAAGTTAGAATTTCTTTCAATGTGGAATCAGGAAGTTGTATTGTGTGTGAAGTGGACCATATGGAACTTGGTAATTTTAAGCAGGGTAGTGAATTGGCTCCCTGCTCCCAGAGTCTATTATGTGCATCCCAAATCATTCTGTGCTTTCATGTTTGATTTTTTTGTTGATGGAAAATTTTAAGAATTATGATTGTTTCAAAACTTGCTGCTGTATTTGCTCTTGATCATGCTTTCTGTTTATCTGCTCACCGTTTGGCTGCCTCATCAGTTGCTGAGGACAGTATTCCTCATTAAAGTTCCTGCAACTTTTTTAAAAAATGCAGTGGTTTCTTTCTTCACATTTCATTGTGGCCCTGTGCTTGGTTTACTATTCAGAATATTGGTGAGTTTCTTTGTGTGTTACAGCATATTTACTTAAGCCCACACAGAAGATTGACTAATACTAAAATCTGCTCTCTATTTTTCAGGATGAATTGAAATCTTTTTAATGAGCTTTTTCAGTCTTGAATGGCTACATAGCAGCAGTAACCCAAAATGACACTTTTACCCTTTAATCTGAAAAAATACACTTGTTCTTTTTTCGCATACAGTACCAGTATGAATTGTACTAGCTTGCTCTAATTGGCTTTTCACAGAGTTAAGTGAGTGGAATACATACTACAGGGATCACAGATCTACTTTTTAGAGTTCTAGATCAACATTTGAATCACTAGTGTGGTGCACTCAATATTTTAATATAATTTTTGGAGTCCTAAACAGGCTACGAATTGTGAAGAAAGCTTCTTAGGTGTATTTTATGTATTTATTTAGCAAAATATTTATACTGCCTGATTGTAAGAAAATTGTAATTTTATACTTTGTTTTGTAAACTTTGCAGTGTACTCGCCAGATTATCTCTGAGAAGTTGGGTCGAGGCTCACGGACAGTAGATCTGGAATTGGAAGCTCAAATAGAAATACTGAGGGATAACAAAAAGAAGTACGAGAATGTCCTGAAATTGGCACAAACATTGTCCACACAGCTTTTCCAGATGGTGAATACCCAAAGACAGCTGGGAGATACATTTGCAGACTTGAGTTTGAAATCATTAGAACTCCATGTAAGCATTTAATTGCAATAGAAAAATAGGAAAGTTACAAGAAAGTTGGAAATGCCTCCATTTGTTTAATCTAATTTTTAGTACAATTGCCTGATAACAGATAGCATAATTTTTAAAAAGAGAACAGCATGAATTGTTGCCTTGCATGTTAATCACTAGCTTTCTAGCTCAGTGGGGTGGGGGAGCCTTTTGGACTTATCAGGTCAGATCACCTGGTGTTACAACTATTTCAGTGGACACCATCTCCCTGCCTAGAGAAAAGAAAGGGGACGGACAACTGAAATTGCAGCTAAAATAGAGCAAAAGTATCCCTGACCAGGAAGGGAGTTTGCATTGAAATCCCCAGCAGGGTTCAACTCCTCATGCATCCTGATTTCTGCAGGGTTCAAATATGCAAGCTAGTTCCTGGGGTGGGGGTAGGTGGGGGAATCTAGCTCATGCACTTGAGCCCCACAGGATTGAACTTTACAGACAAGAGCCGATGTGCAAATATTTTGGTCCTGCATTCCCCAGGGGTTGGCTGTGTAAGCAGCTGATCCAACCATGTCTCCACCTGCTCCACACCTAACATCACATGACATCAGGTGTGAGGCATGTGGGAATGGTTTTGGGAAATGGCTTCACAAGCCAAGTGGAGAGGCTTGGCAGACCAAATCTGGCAGGTAGGCTGGAGGTTCCCCATGCCTACTCTAGCTAATCTCTGCACATTCGTTTCAATATTTGCAATAAGCTAATTTAGGGCAGAACCTGTACCTATTTGTGCGTAATGTTAAGCCATGGTTTCTTATACAAACTGTGAGTTATTCTACAGATGATCAAACAACGGTTTCTCCAAAACTTGCTTTGTTTTCCAGCTAGTTTTGCCTTGTGCCTTTGTAGTTTGGTGAGCATTTGGGATGCAGTAGCCCAACTAGCCAAGAATGCTTCAGTGTTTGTGCATAAGCCATAGTTAAAACAAATCAAGTTCATAAGCTAAAAATAAACCATGGCTTCAGATGATGATTTGCTGGAAGTAAATGAACCATAATTAAACCACTGGGTATGGTTTGCACGTATTAGCTAAGCCATGGATTAATAAAATTATCATAGTGTTAAGTACAAACAGGACACCACATTTTTTACCCATAGAAAAGCAATTCATTCCACTTTTAAAATAATTATAGACTTGTAGCATATAGAATAAAGTTCTTACAAATGGAGAATTCAATTTGGTGAGAGAAGCTAATCAGTAAGCTAACACAGGCTATTTTAAGGCTTTGAAGTCTCTTGATTGCTATGAATAGTGTCAATAATTTGGCATTTAATAAATAATGGAAAGTTAAGCATTCAAAAACACTGTTATATTTCCAATCTCTTAACAGGAGGAATTTGGATACAATGCAGATACTCAAAAACTTCTTGCTAAAAACGGTGAAACTCTACTTGGGGCAATTAACTTTTTTATTGCTAGTGTGAACACTTTGGTGAACAAAACTATTGAGGACACATTAATAACCGTGAAGCAATATGAAAGTGCCAGGTAATGGATTATACAATATTATCTGATGTCTTCCTGAAGTATGTAGTTTTAACAGATAGGCTAGTTGTTCATTGAATCTTGAGTTTAGATCTCATTAAGACATGCTGTCCACAGAAACAAATTCAAATATACTGTCTGAGGCACCCCCCTGTTTTGCCCGAAAGCCCTCCCTGACCAGCTTACATGAGATCAATAGCAAACAAAGCAGTCCCTGCCCTCGGGCTTACAGTTTAAAAGACATGACATAAAAGGAAACAGGGATGTAGAGTGCAGGTAAAAACTACCCAATTGATGCACCAGTTCTTGGTCTGCATCCCAACAACAAATTTATAAGCATGTCAGGAAAGCATAATATGTAGCTACAGCTTTTTTCATAGCTTTTCTTACTGGTCATTTTCCACTGCTGAAGAAGCAAGCTGCTGTTCATCTTCGAAATTACCGTAATTTTCGCTCCATAACACGCACTTTTTTGCTCCTAGAAAGTAAGGGAAAATGCCTGTGCGTGTTAAGGAGCGAATGCACTGGATCGGAGCCGTGGCTGCCGTCAGCCAAGCAAAGCGGGAGCCGCTTGCAGGGCTTTGCACGGCTCTAGCTTTGCTTGCTTTGCAGCCAGGAGGAGGGGGAGGAGCCGAGGAGGAGGGAGGGAAGGAGAGGCATGGCAGCAAAGCGGGCAGCAGCCGCTTACAGGGGAGGAGGGACAGACGGGAGCCATAGCGAGCCGGGAGAAGGCAGGCGGTTCAAAGCCAGCAAGCGCTTTTAAAGTAGCCAGCAACAGCTGCTGCAGCCTCAGCTAGCAAAGGTCCGCGCGCTCTCTAAACGGAGCAATGAGGCTGCAGAGGGACAGGAGGGCTTGGATCAGGAAGGATAAAATTTAAGCAACCAGCAGCAAAAAACAACAACAAAAAAACCAAATTGGAGCTCTGAGCCATGAGCGCAGTGAAAACCAGGAAGTAAAAAAAAAGGCTATCCCCCGTTTCTCAGCTGTTTTCAGGCAGGATAGATTTGAGCATTGTCTGGGTCCTAGTGCCCCTACCGCTTTTTTGTGCTCCATTCTATTGCTGCTGGTGGCTGCTTATCACTCAGGCTGCAAGGAGGAGCGCTTTTACACAGCTAATGGCGAATCCCCTGCAATCCAAGTCCTCTTCACTTGCTCAAATCTATTCTGCCTCAAAACAAGGAGCAGAATTAAAAGGCTGCAAACTGTTAAATGGAAAAAACCCCAGCCACAGGGCAAATACCTTAAGTATACCTTGAAAGCAACAGTATTCTTTCCCTCCCCGCTCAGCTCACAGAAAAGCTCCTTCTCCACACACCCCACGCGTGCTCCTTGTCCATTGAGTGCTTTTCCTTCCCTCCCCACTTAAAACGTGGTTACAAAGCACGGATCCACATGGATCCTCAGGATTTTTGCACTGGGTCACCCCAAACTCACCATCAGATCACATGTCTGTGGCCACAGCATGAACCACAAAAATCATACATCTACTGTTTTGTTTAGAATATTTTTTTTCTTGTTTTCCTCCTCTAAAAACTACGTGCGTGTTATGGTCAGGTGCGTGTTATCGAGCGAAAAATACGGTAATCTATTTGAGGGTGTGAGTTGATGTGGGGAACATTTCAGAGAAAGATCTGTCTATGCCATAGTTTCCAGTACTTGCTTGTAAATGACTTTATTTTTATCTTACTCATTTAATATATACTACTCAGTACTGAAGACAGTCTCTGTACAGTTTACAAAATAACAAATACAATACAATACAATACAATACATACTGAGAAATTACCATATAATTCACTGCCATAAAACTTTAAAAAAAAAAAAATAAAAGCAGCAAAGCTACAGATTTTGAGACATTTTTATAGAGTTCAACCTGTTCAGCCTCCCTCTTGCCAAGGCACATTCTGATTCACAAAATGAAACACTTACCCCATTAACACATACACATCACACACACATTCTGCCTGCATTTATACAAATCATACATCACCTACTACTCATTCAGTACTGCACACACACATCCACCAGTACACACAATCACTCTCCCACTCAATCACAACCGCTATCACCTGCCACTCCTTCCATTCAACAAAAATGTACTGCAAAAGCACCAGGAGACAATGAAACCATTCACTGACAGAACCACATAAATGACACTACACATTGCCACCCATCTGTCTCTCAGATGCGCTGTTCCTGATAGCAATCTGGCTCTCACCCGGATTGCTCTGTCTCACCCAAAGATGCAATGAACTGCACACACCCCTCCCTGGTACTCCTTTCTGTCACCAAGAGGGCCCTCAGACAATTAAACCCATGCAAGAGGCACTCCAAAAGGCAAAACTTGAAGGAGGGGCTCAGCCTTGCTGGTTCTGTAGCTCTCTGGGTGAATGGCATTCATTAGCAACAGCTGGTTCCACACTTCCTCTGCAGTTCTGCTCCAACAAAATGACTCCTGGGGCACCCAGCCGCAAAGTCTTTAAAAAGTCAGTATCTCCCTCATAGAGTGCTATAGTCTCATTGATGAGGGGAAGGGTGGAGATCAGTCAAGGGTGGAAATGCCATCCATTATTGCTAAAAAATATTCTAAAGCAAGGGTGGGAAACCTGTAGCCCACAGGCCAAAGTTGGCCTCCTAGACCTCTCTATTTGGCCTGCTGAGCCATTTTCCCTAAACCACACCTGCCATTGGAGCAGATATCAACATGCCTACAAAGTAATAATTGGGAGCTTAAAGTGTGCTATCGATTTTTCCTCTGCTGGAGAAAGGTGCGCTCCCACCACTTGTTGGGTGCGCCTTGCTCATACAGCACCAAAGGTTTCCGTTGAAACGCTGTTAAAATGAAGCTTGTTCTTTGCATTTTAGCAACAGCTTCAAGGCAGACTGCTTGGTGCTATAGGAGCAGCAAAGCCCCACATACTGTGGTTCCCAAGTGCCCAACAACCAACTGGCTGTAGAGTGCTTAGGAAGTGCTGTGCAATGGACTTTCATGGGTGGGACAGCCCACCTGCCAGTCATCTGCAATCATAATGAAGTCAGGTGATTGTCAGATGGGTTGTACTATCAAAGCTGGCCCATGTGGTTTGGTCAGATAAAGATCTGGTTCATCAAGCCAAAAAAAGTTTGCCACCCGTGTTCTGTATCTTACAGTATTGCAAAATACCCTGCATGCTCCCATGAGCATTATTGTTGAAACCTGCAATATGAATGCTATCTGATCTCCCCTGCTCATTTATAACCAATTCCTACCAGGCACAGAAAGTGGAACTATTTGTAAGAGGCTCCAGATGACAAAATAAAAGATTTTAGCTTCCCCCATATTATCATACATTTGTAATCTTTTGAAAACATCTGTTAAATGTATCGGTGAGACCCAGGGTAGTGTGAGAAGAGCAATAGATTACTGTCGAGTAAGCAGACAGACTTACTGGTTATCACTCTGTGATTACTTCGGTCCATATCATATTCCCAAATATGCACAGGTCATTTTAATTCTTTCTTCTTCTCAGGGTTGAATATGATGCTTATCGCACAGATCTAGAGGAGCTGAATCTTGGCCCACGAGATGCAAACACATTGCCAAAAATTGAGCAGTCGCAACAACTATTCCAAATACATAAGGAGAAATATGACAAAATGCGCAATGATGTATCAGTTAAATTGAAGTTTTTGGAGGAAAACAAGGTAAGGAACTGCATTACTTCCTAATTTGCTATATACTTGAAATTCAACTTTGCCTTACCAGCTATATATTAGATCACACAGTCTATTGAATTTGATTATTTCTGTCTCTTTTCTAAACTATTTAAACTTCTGGCAGGTAAGTCCTAGAATAGATTTGAGTAAGAGCATTAAATCAGATTCTTTTTCTATTCTTAACTCCTTTTTGTTATTCTTGTTTGTGCATAGCAGGACACCTTAAAATTATTTCAGTGCCATATTGACAACAAGGGGTTGATAATGTACCTGACTATTCATGAGGACCCTTGGAGCCCTTGAAGACAGATAAAATCAGGGCTCAACTGATTATAAAAGTTCACCACTGTAAAGGGAGGAGTGGAACACTAACCCTGATGGTAATTTTGGCTACTGAGCTACAGTGACATGGACACAAGTTTCAACCCCTGCCACTGATTGATAGTCTAGCAGAAGTATGTAATGAGCAGTCACAACAATTAACAGTCCTGCTTTACTTCAAGGGAAAGTGTGACACATACACACCTTCTAGAGGTGATATTAGCCCCTTCAGTTCTGAAATAGTTGTCATATTTGGTGAAATTAAAATGCTTTATTGTCTGGCAAGCAGAAGTTTTGCCAGCACTCTTCCCTTCCTAGAACTGCTTTTGTTTTGAGTTCCAAATTAGATTGCAAATTCCTTTTTTATCTGAAGCTTGAGATGCCGTCTAACTTTGTATGCTTACTTGCTTCAGTTTTTGGAGAAAAGCTCAGAACATGAACTGAATGTTTCTCTTTCTGACATTAGGGTATACTTGGAAACCAAACTCTGTAATTTTGGGTGGTTAGTCCGTGTTTGCTGGCCAATATCATTGAGTTCCAGTTGCAGTACTACCATTAGTAGACCTCTGTTTCCTGACCAAATATGTCATTTTGGCTAAATATGTCGAATGTAACAGCTATAGCTATTCTGGTTAACATATAAGTAGTGTTGATTGCTGTCAGAATTGGAGTACAATGAACTTCTATACAAAAAGGGGCCAAAACTTTTTTTTATTCTCTATATGACAAGTAGCTGTGTTGGGCAAAGGCAAACCTCCCAAAAGATTTGTTTCATGTGTAATAGCCCACTGATTAAAAGTGCTAGTTTGAAGCAGTAGGACAACTCTATAATGAGCCACTATCTGACTGGTTAATAGTTCTATTTGCACCCTGTTAAGCAGCAATTTGGTACCTACCACATTGAAGGTACATATATGTACTTCTAAGACAGTTCCATATTTATACCTGTTGTGTTGGCTCCTTACAGGGAAATGAGTGGCAAAAGCTGTGTGCAAGCTGTCACTGATGTGCGTGGGTTGAAAGGAGGGGAAGGTGGAGACTTCATCCTATGGACTGAATGCGGTTCTGTAATATTAGTCAGTTTACTTGAAATGCTGCAGGTTTCCCCTTTGCATCATTTTCAGAAATTTGCTAAGGATAGTAATTTGAAGGTCAATAATTCTTATGTTGATTGTCTTTGAATTCTGTCACAATGACTTCATTAGCTATAGACACCCTAAGGGGAAGGAGGTTTGGCAGCCATTCAAATGTTAAGATAAATTGATATCTTTGCTCTCTTCACAAAAAATAAAAAGCTGTACTGACAATGTGCAGTGATAAGTGTCTGTAAGATGTCAAAAACTCTTTTGACAGTTAGTAGCACTACCTGTTATTCTAGCCTAGTCTATGTTTGCACAGATTGCACCTTATTAAATGTAACCAACAATATCCACTCTTGTATAGATCTCTGCACATTTTGAGTAGCAGAATATTCTGAAATGTCATCCACATCTGGTGTAAATAGTTTTGCAATGACGCAGTCTGTGGCAGTGATGTAAGGTCCTGCTAGGATCAGCATGCTTCTGTTTGCACACTAGTGCTTCCATAAGTGCCTCATATAATATTTATTCACTGCGGGGAACAGCAATTTCTGGTAAGTTCCCCTTGGTTTTGAGCCACATGCAGGCAAAAGTCAGAGGAATTTATGGCTCCCAAATTAGGGGGGGGGGTCATTTTCTCTTGGAAATCACTCTTCTTGATTTTGCCTATTTGTAACCATGAAGCACTACTTATGTCTGTGGATTAGTTTTGGACATAGCAGTCCCCTCTTCCTTCTCTTCCAAACACACAAGAAAAAGATCTAAAATTTCTTCTGCTTTAGAGCATGCATGGAGAATCTCCAGCCTGTGGGCATAGTTTGACCTGGCATGGATCCCAGTATGGCTGTTTTCCCCAAGCTACGCCCTCCTGCACCACACCTGACATCATGTGGGGTTGGTAGAAATGTAGCAGCCAAGGAACAATTGGGAGCCTTAAAGTCCTTCCGGTCGTTCCTTGGCAAGGAATGCTCACTGTTGGTGCCAATCATTTGATCAGCAGTAACAGCATACAGAAAGCTAGATTTCAGGGGACAGGATTTTAGCCTTCTCCCAGCTTTCCTCAGGGACATACCTGCTATTTGAGATTCAAAGCTAATGATTCAAAGTTGTGGCTAAGAAGAAGCCTTTAAATATTTGATACTGAAAGATAGAGGAATATAGGAATATAAATAATTGCCTGAAAATAATTTTGCAGGCCTCTGGATTGTAGTGAAATCCACTTCTTCATGGGAAGATTTGAGGGAACATAATTGTTTTGCAATATCCTGTTTTTGCACTGCGTTGATCTTAGAAGGGTGTGTGGGAGCCATGGGACCTATAATTTTCTCCCTTAAGTTGCTGAGTTCTATACCATACACTCCTTTAAAGCACCTGCATCTCCAAGAAATAAATGTAAAGTGTTAAAACTTCAGGACAATGGAATTTCCAGAAGATCTGTCATCTTAAATAACTATATGTGGCATGGCACACAGATCTTTTAGTTTGAGGTTACTTCAATAATTCAAAAATGCCTTTGCTGTCTTCTAATGATGGCATTAGTAAAAGATAAAGCTACAGTTATAGCAACATTCATAAAAATGTGCTCTGTCCCATACATTCTCAACAGTTCTGAACATTTTGAACACAAGCTAGTTTTATAGATGCGCATTTAGCGTTCAAATAGTAAATGAAAAAAGCATACATTGTTCCTTGTTGCCACTTCCCTTTTTATAGAAAGTATTCAGATATGATGGGTTGTATCCTACGCTTGCACTACAGAACTTTCAGTTTTACTCCTTCCCTGCACCCAAAAAAAAAGTTCTGGGGGGCCTCCAACGTTTGGAATACGATTTTGGGGGCTTTTATGCTTTCTTTTACGTCAGTGTTGCTCTATTGGTATGTATGAGTATTGCTGACTATTATGGGCTGCCATTAAAAGTATTGTGAATTATAAGCGAATACATAAATCTAACTCAAAACACTTGATTTTAAAATTCTGTTTAGTCAGTAAAATACAGCAATGTCTAGGTGTGCTGTCTGAGTATTGTAATCAGATGTTCATATTATTTTAAGTGTGTCCATCCCACATAGTTCACCCACGAAGTCTGGTTTCCCAGCCTTTAGTTGTAAACACCCAAAAGACTGAATAGTAGAAGAAGTGAACAATGAACAAATAGTTGCCATACAGCACTGATGCCTTTTTCACATTGGCTTTTATTTTGATGTGTTGCAAGATTGCCACTCTATATTTTTGCTTATTAAAGGGAAGGAATATCAATTGAGATCGTATTTGTTTTTCCTTGTAGCAAAAGTTGCTGCAGGGAGCCCAAATGGTAACTGCTACAGTTAACTGATGTAGCATATTTCCAGACGTTCTGGAGCAGGCATAGGCAAACTCGTCCCTCCAGATGTTTGGGACTACAACTCCCATCATCCCTGATGTTAGCTAGGGATGATGGGAGTTGTAGTCCCAAAACATCTGGAGGGACGAGTTTGCCTATGCCTGTTCTGGAGGGATAGTCATGCTTATCTGTTGTAGCAAAACTAAAAAAAAAACTTGTAACACTTCAAAAACTAACAAATTTATTATGGCATAAGTTGTGTATCAGATTCATGGAAGTTTTTGTCCTAAGCTAGAATATGTGTGGGGAGAGAGAGAGAGGGAGGTAGTTCTGGAGGAAACAAAAGTCAATTTTGCAGAGGTGAAATAATAACAGAAAAGGATGATAGTACTGCTAAATTTTAAGAATATCCACGGATCAAAATTGAGTATGTATGTGAAAAGATGAAGCAGACGCCTCTCTTATAGGAGTCCACAACTTTTATTTTACTAGTCTCCTTCAGGGGTTTCCATCCATTCAGTCATCTGCAGCATTTGTTCTGCTCTTCTGGACATATCTGATAGAAATTCATTCTTACTGTTTTCACCTGAATGGTGACCATTGTCCCTCCTGGACACTTAGATTGGAATATTGGCTGAAGTGTTTTTCAGCAATGTCCTGTGAAGAAAGTGGCAGTCCGTTCCCCTTTTTTGTTATTTATAATTAAAAACCACTCATCTATGTGTAGCATCATTTGAATTATGTGCTTTGTGCTGTTGTCATTTTGAAGAATGTCTGCAGATGTAGAATGTTTGGCCTACCTCCTGATGATGGTAGCTTGTTGGAATATACTTGACATAATCCAGGGTGTGCTGTGGCTTAAGAATTTAGGATTTTTTAAACTCTGAAGCTCCAAAATTTTTGGGTACTCTCTTTGCCTCCATACACTGCACTCTTGTTTTCCTCTCATATCAACAGCTACTGATTCCACATCTGCACAGCTTTTTAACTGTGAAGAATGTTGGGAAACTGTTTGTTCTTAAAACTGGAACACCTTGGGGTTAACCTCTGATCATCTTCAATATTCAATTACATGCCTTTTCATCTTTAACTTTATCCTTGTCCACAGGTGAAAGTATTGCACAATCAGCTTGTTCTGTTCCACAATGCCATTGCAGCATACTTTGCGGGGAATCAAAAACAGCTTGAACAGACTCTTAAACTATTCCATATCAAATTGAAAACGCCTGGAGTAGATGCTCCATCCTGGCTTGAAGATCAGCAATAGGACCACAGCATGAAGATCCCTTGATCAACCAAGAATATTGTACACCTAATGAGAATCAATGAATTTGTATAAGGAGGACTGTTTGTAATGATACTTGCACAAGCAGCTTTAATTTCCCCCTTGATAATAATTACTATAATAGTTTGGGAGGGTGGATGGATGTAACCAAATGTAACTTGCCATTTCAGAAACAGATCTTTTTTGTATTTGAGGGTGGATGGTTTTCTGTAGTAGGGAAATATAGATTTGCACTGACAAAGATGTTCGTGATCTCCGGTAATTGTGGTGGCTAGATGGGAATTTTTTCAAAGGGAGATGCTCATGGTTTGTATCAACATCAGATATTTTATATAAATGTATTAAGCTTCTCTAAAGATTCTTTTTTCATGTAAATGTGTTAAAAGAATAAATGTTTTACAGAGTAATAATATAAGGAAGGCCTTCAAGCAACATCCACAAAATATCAGTGGCTGGCTGATACGTGGAATTGCAGCAAATAGCTTTTTAAAAAAATGTTGGATCATTCAATTTTGTGGTTCAGAAACACTAAATATAGAATTGCCCTCTTGGTCTTAAGCTTTGAAAACACATTTTAGCATTGTAAAGATGAACTGTTGGAGAAGCAGACCATTGCCCTACTTCTTTAATATTTAAATGTCTATTAAAAAAAATACCTTTACTTGCCTTAAATTCAGAAGTGCCTTTTGCAACACACTTTGTACCCAGTGTACATAATCTGTAAGAAACCCTCTTTGGATTGATGACTTTTTAAAGAGACAGTCTGAGGCCAGTCTGGGTTGTGTGTGCTTCTGTTGAACGGCAGACCATGTCACATGACTAATATGACTGATTGTTTCTTTTCTCAATCAATAGTGTAACCTTTATTAAACATACATTTCTGTTCTCTTATAGCCTTTTAAAATTCACTGTTATGGAGCATCCTCAATTGCACATTATCCACTGCTTTTTGTGTTTATATAAATGAAGTAAAAATAACTTAACACAGTTTATATGGATTGTACAATTATGTATTATATGTTGAAATGATTCAGTTGCTTCTTTAAATGGTTTAGTTTAAGTCTTAATGTAATGTGTGTATCAAGTACATTTTAAATCATTCCTTATTACATTCTTGTCTGTTCAATGACTTTGCAATTGGATTTTTTCTCTTGCAATAACTTTACCAAGTTACCATTCCTCAGAATGTGCCTCCATTGTTAACTTTGTTTTCATACTAAAGGTGTTTGCTGCAGTCTGTTTCCTTTATTTCATGGGATTTGTGGATTAACATTTGCACAAACCTTCTTTTTCTTCCAGCTAAGCCTTGGGGATACTTTTATTAGCCATAGCCCTACAAACAAGGTATGATTAGCTGCCTTTCTGACTGGAACTTTTTCCCTCCAGTGGCTTTTTTCCTCCACTGCTAGGAAGGGAAGCAAATGTTCTTGAGGAAGCAGGGCTATAGCAGAAATATAGCAAGCATAGCATAACTTGTTTGTCAGCTGGGTAGATTTAGTTGTCTCCCCCTAATTCTTCAGTCTTTCCTATGACAGTTCTTTCTTTTTTCAGTACCCAGCCCCATTTATCATTTTATACTTTCCTCCAGCCCTAGGCTGTGCTGTTGGAATCCTTCATAAGTTTCAACTTCGCGTGTGACATCTCCATGCAGTAAAACGGCTAAACGGAGGCTGGGTGCTGCCTTGAGCTTTCAAACTTCCTCCTTTAAAATTTATCTGGCATTTTCACAAAGCAACTATTGGCCAAGTTTACATCTTTTGTGCTCAGTTTGATAATAACTGACTTCACAGAAACCCTGGGTTTGTTCCTAGAGTTCTGTTTTTACTTGTCACTATTGTTTTCCTTCTCTATTTGCATTTCTCACTTCTTATGGCGCTGTGTGACATGGTGAATTTCTGTATATCAGTTTGAGAAATTGTCTGGAGGTACAGGTCATGAAATATTTATCAAAGAATTTCAAATTCTGCACTGAAGAATTTGAAATCATCACACAAGGAAAATCATAAAATCTTTTGCAAAATAATCTACATACACAAATAGGTGTAAATTGAATGGGGTACTTTGTATTATGCAATCTACATATTTTTTTTCCGGTGCTGCAGGTTGTCATACTGCCATACTGGTGTCAGAAGCATAGATCAGTAGTAACTAAAATAGAAATCAGGATCACTTTTGTCTCAGGGAGTTGGACTAGATGACCCTTGGAGTTCCTTCTTACTTTTTAGTTCTATGACTATGAACATAAGGCACAATGCAATCCCACTATAAATGCACTAGATTCCACCACTTCTAGTGCTAGCTTAAGTGCTTCTATGAAGGGTGCACTAGTAAACATTGCAGTGTCTAAGCTCTTAGTTGCAAGGATAGTTCTTTATGACTAGATCAAAGACACGGACTAGATCAAATCCAACTTGATGTGGACACAATAAAATGGAACGTTCCAAAGGATGCTTAGTGCTTTGATTTTAAAAAAATAATAATTATCAAGGTTTGTAAGATACTATAGGGACTTGGATATCTTAGAAAGATGGGATCAGGGAAGTGGGTGTTTTTGGAGTGGAGGAATTTTTTGAACTTTGTTAGGAGCATTGGCTTCTCTCCACTGAAAGGAAATAAACACAGATAAATGAATCCAAACCTGGAGTGGCAGTGGCCTACTGTGGAGGTCCCTGCTCTACCCACCGAATGCATGAACAGGAGAAGCCACTACCAGTGGTAGACAATGTACCATATTTCACTGCATAATAGTTGCACCACCACCCCTAAAAGCTGTCCCCAGAGCATTCCCCACGTAATAGTCGCAGCGGTGAAAATGCCTTGCCGGTGGGACATTAGTTTTGCCTAACAGCATTTGCCCGCTTTTGTAATTGAAATTGCTCTTAGCACAGCTGTTTCCCAGCCTCTTCCTGTTCCTACCTGTGGAACTTGCCTGTTGGCTGAGCCGGCCCTCAACCCACGGAGGATGAGGCAGCCTCGTGCAAGGAGCGAAAGCAGCAGCTGAGGAGGCCTCACCCGAGAGGAGTATGGAGATGGAGGAGAAATGTGGTGGCAAGGTCCTGGCCAGTGGCCTGCAGATTCGGCCCGTGGATATGCCCAGCAGTTGTAAACTGCCTGCTCTAGAGGGGTGTGCACCTAAGGCCCCTTGCAATGGGCCTACTTCTCCGTAGGGGGCTTGCAGGGCAGGGTTAAGAGACCAGGCTAAGCTATGCATTTACTGTATTTCACCACATAATGGTTTCCACCGCATAAGCTGCACCCCTCTTTTTTGAAAATAAAAATCGGCATTAAAAATGTGACTTATGGGGTGAAGTATGATAACCCTGGAATGAAGGAATATGGCCAAGGATCTAGCCAAGATCTTGGATCTAGCCAAGGAGCCACTGGACCCTAAGGTGCTCGTATCTATTGACAAATCTTGTGAGGCGTCTGAGCCACGCCTGTTTGCTGCGCCAGCCTGGAGGTGGCGCAGCAAATGTATTCTTTTCGCGCCCCACCTTCTACTCTGGCTGCCACAAATGGTGGAACACCAGATGCCGCAGTGACTCCCATCACTCACTACTTCCCTCCAGGAGTTCAGATTGTGCTCTTTATCTCATTGTTAAGGAAATTAAGAGGAGATAGTGAAGGATTTCACAACCACTCATTATACACTAGGAGTGTCCCATGTACCAAATAAGATGCAGGAGTTAAATACAAAATTCCTCACATGATTCTTGAAATAGGTTACTGACATGCTCTCTGTTGTTGCATAGATAGGCACATTTTGAGGTTCAGACGGCACATATTATCCAAAACTACTAAGTAATTCATGACTGAGCTGGATTGGTATTACAGTTAAACCTGTGAACAATAAACTGTCCTTGGTAGAGTGGCATACAGTTACCATTTTTGTTGCAGCTACTGATGTTGGTGGGAGTTTGCCGTCTGCATAAATGATAAAGGGAGGCCTTCGCGTATATGTCATCCTCAGAGCTTGGCCCTCTAAAGACAATGTCGTAAGTGTGCAGAAGGACAGAACGTTTCCTACGAAGAAGTGTGCACTGTGTGGGCAGCTGGCCACTGCCCATAACACAAACTCACAAACCCAAGTGGAAATTTTCCTCTGGGCTGTGAATATTCATAATGACGACTAGTAAGAAATGACATAATCATTATTAGCATTACCATCCCTGACGCAATTCCAGTATGTGAACATATAGGTCTACTTTCTCTAATCTCAACCGTAAGCTTGTATTTTCTTAGAACGTGTATTACATTTTTGAGTGTGGCCTCTTGAGTGCTATATTACTGTGCAAACTCCTGAAAGATATCTGGAGGTAGTCCTTGGTCTGGATAATTAATGATATCAGTTGTGGGATTTAATTGTGAAATATACATTATCTACCATTGTTAAGTGCTTTAAGATTTCATTTGATCACAATGGGAGCGATTAAAGCACTTACGGTAATTGATTTTAATGCAGTAAGACGTAAGTGTTTAGCTTTGGTTAGATTGTTTTCCTTAGGTTGTTTTCTCAATATGTCGGAAACAATTTCCTCTCATAAAGGGAACCCCCTTTTTTGCAGAAAGCATGACAGAGTAAATAAGGATGCCCCCTCTCCCTGCTTTTGGCGGGACAGTAAGAATGCTTTGCTGTTGTAATATCATTTCTGCTTACGGTGCATTGATTTCAGCTTCTATGGTGTGTCTCTGTAAATGCACAAAATCCAGCAAACCTAGACACTAAACACTGGATTGGGAATGCTGGCCTGGAATCACGCAGATAGCACAAGTTCATGCAATTAACAGCAGGGTCGATTTGTGCTTTGACTTGGGAGTGATTGCAAAGCATTGACATGAGTCTAGTAAAAATCAACAAAGGTGATGCCCCCTTAGCTGTAGTTGTTAATTATTAAGGAGACTTACTATAACGATAGTAACATTAAAAAACACAAAAACAAAAAAACCCCGGCCAGTACAGAGCAGGGCTGTGTGAACCCTACAGAAGCACATTCTGGTTTAAAATAATTAAGAGTTACTTATATATATAGGTGGTGATGCTTGTGTGAGAATCTGAACTCCTTTTAAAGGGTTTTTGCATAAGCCTGATGGCAAGCCTTCACCTTGAGCAGCCTCTGCCATCACTGCTTGTGTTTTTTCTTTCTTTCTGGGTTTCAAAGCGCTGACTTCTCTCTTCTACTCACTATGTGCTGCTCCTGAGTGAACTGTCTAAGCTTCTCCCGTAGCATACCCTGGCCTCCCAGATACTCTGGGAATTTGTCAGAAATTATTAGGATTTAGTGACTTGGGGGAAGGGCATGCAGTAACAGGCTCATTTTCTAAGAGATGGTGACTGGAAGAAACTAAAATACTTGCAAAAATGGAGTTGTTCCCTTCATTCTCCTTCAACATTAATAACCCTCTCTACTTAGTGTAAGCAGACATCCTTGCACACTCTATTAATGCATTCAAACCAACAAAACTTCTAGTTCTCGGAACTGTGTTTACACTTCTAGTTAGATGGTTTAACTACATGGTTCATTCTAAAAAGAGAGAGCACTGCAGAAAGGAAAGAAGCCTTTACAGAACCATGTAATGTTCAGGACACAAGCGTGGTATAGACGTTGGGGAGCTTGGAGACATGGGTTCAAATGCCCACTCAGCCAGGATGGACTCACTGGGTCAATCATTGTCTCTCAGCCCAACCTATCCCACAAGGTTGTGATGAGGCAAGGATAAAATGGGGAGATGGAAATCCTGTGCACCATTTTACACCACCTTGGAGGAAAGGCAGACTGTAAATGTAGTAATAATAAATAATGAATATTTATTACTTTGATGTACAGGTAAAAAATGCATGCATATCAACTTTTTCTATACATCACTTTCCCTGTAGCCCAATTTTCTACCGACACACAATAAGCCTCATTAAAGATGGAATATAACTAATAATAAATAATAACAACAGTACCCAGACAGACTTAGAAAATATGTAAAAATAATAAAAATACATTAAGCTAAAACCAGGGGAAAAACACTTCTCAGAGTGCTCACAGTCAGATTATTCACAAGCTCACAAGCACCTGCAGACACCAATAAAAAGGTGCTTCATAAGCAATATCCAGAGCTGAAACAGAGAAGACGCCTAATGCGACTCTACAAGCAGGCAGTCCCATGAGGAGGGTGTGACACTGGAGAAGGCAGTCTTCAAGAAAGCAAATACAGTCACACATACAAAAAGTCGCGAAGAGGGCA